CAATCCCGGGAACCCCACAGGTCTGTGCTTAACTTTTTTTTTTTTAAGGTTTTATTTATTTATTTGACAAAAAGAGACACAGTGAGAGAGGGAACTCCTTTCTGTGCCTAATCAGTGCTGGTGCCTTCAATTCATTCATTTTCCCTCCTCAGGGAGTGTGTGCTGACTCTTCCTTTAATGGGGTTATCTTCGTCTTTTGACCTCCAAGGTTCTTGTTTCTAATGTTTGTTGAGTGCTTTAATCCTTTCCCAAAGCCTTTCAGATGCATTCAGCTCTTACTGGAGCCCATGACGAAACAGGCCCAGTAACCTTAAACCTAACCTTTGGGATTCTAGTGTTGGGGCTTAGGTCTCCAACCATCGCATCTTCCACTGTGTTCTGCTGTCAAGGCCTCTCTTCATTCCCAGAGAAGCCCACATACAGGCCGAGGTCCTAGAGCAGCAGAGGGAGGTGTCCTCAAGATTTAGTGAAAAGAATCAAGTTGGGGCGCCTGGGTGGCTCAGTTGGTTAAGTGACTGCCTTCAGCTCAGGTCATGATCCTGGAGTCCCAAGATCGAGTCCCGCAATGGGCTCCCTGCTCAGCAGAGAGTCTGCTTCTGCCTCTGACCCTTCCCCCTCTCGTGTGCTCTCTCTCTCATTCTCTCTCTCAAATAAATAAAATCTTTAAAAAAAAAAAAAAAAGAATCAAGTTGTTGAGCTTCTGAATCCAGGGGCATTCTTGCAGCAAGGGACTAAGCCTGTGTGTAAGGTGGGAACTCCTCCAGAACAGGGTTTGCAATCAGTTATTGCCACCACCCCCCCCCACCCCCCGGCTCCCCAGTATCCCCACGGGGTTCGTGTGGCCTGGTTTCTCAGGAGTCCTGCAAACCTTCAGCCACAGCAGTGGAAACAACCGGGTTCAAGTGCCACCTGGTGGTAGAAGTTGGGTATTTTATCCTGATTCGACAATCCCTTCCTTGTTCAAGGGTCTGCCCAGCCGTGGGCACCGGTAATTACTAACAAGACAGATTCCTGTCCCTCCTCCCCGCCAGGACATACAGAATGAGCTTAAGGGCCAAGACAGGGCCAGTTTGTGGATTACTGCTTTAAAAGGCCTCTTTAAAAAGTATAAGCATGGAGTCCTTTAACTACTGTGCTAAGAACTTTAAGGCATTTCATTTTGCTTACTCCTCACAGCAGACCTCGTCTTAAAGACGGGGACAGTGAGGAACGCCTGGGTGGCTCAGTCAGTTAAGCAGCTGCCTTCGGCCCGGGTCATGATCCCAGGGTCCTGGGATTCAAGTCCCACATTGGGCTCCTTGCTCAGCAGGGAGCCTGCTTCTCCCTCTCTCTCCCTCTGCTTGTGCTCTCTCTGTCAAATAAAATCTTTTTTTTAAAAGATTTTATTTATTTATTTGAGAGAGAGAAAGAGAGAGAGCACATGAGAGTGGGGAGGGTCAGAGGGAGAAGCAGACTTCCTGCTGAGCAGGGAGCCCGATGTGGGACTCGATCCTGGGACTCCAGGGTCATGACCTGAGCCGAAGGCAGTCACTTAACCAACTGAGCCACCCAGGTGCCCTCTGTCAAATAAAATCTTAAAAAAAAAAAAAGATGGGGACAGTGAGACTCAGGGAAGTCAAGCAGCTCACAGGGGGCTGCATCGAAGGCTGGCAGCAGGGTGGCTGGTAAAAGGCTGGGGTTGGGGCCTCCTGGGGAGTCTGCCTGGCAGCCCCCAAAGGGTGGAGATTGGCGGTGTCCCTGGAAGCTGTGACTTCTCTGTTGCAGACAATCCTGAAGATCCTGGTGTCTGGCGGTGGCAAGTCCCGGACCGGTGTGATGATCCCCATCCCACAGTACCCCCTCTACTCGGCTGTCATCTCTGAGCTCGATGCCATCCAGGTGAACTATTACCTAGATGAGGAGAACTGCTGGGCCCTAAATGTGAACGAGCTCCGGCGGGCCGTGCAGGAGGCCAAAGACCACTGTGACCCCAAGGTGCTGTGTATCATCAATCCCGGGAACCCCACAGGTCTGTGCTTAACTTTTTTTTTTTTAAGGTTTTATTTATTTATTTGACAAAAAGAGACACAGTGAGAGAGGGAACACAAGCAGGGGGAGTGGGAGAGGGAGAAGCAGGCTTCCCGCGGAGCAGGGAGCCCGATGCGGGGCTCGATCCCAGGACCCTGGGATCATGGCCTGAGCCGAAGGCAGACGCCCAACGACTGAGCCACCCGGGTGCCCCTGTGCTTCACTTCTTCGCCAGTTTCTTGAGCGGTGGGGGCAGGGCAGCTGGTGTGTACTACACGTCTGGACACTAAAGAGTTAAATAATGCGACATTCTCTTTGCTCCCAGTCTCCCAATCCAATGCCAGATTTGCTAACATAAAGCCATAAAATCTGCCACCGGCCAGGCCAGCTTAGGAGGTGAACAAATGCAGGCTTTTTTTTTTTCTTGGACAGGGTTGTATTATTATTAAAACCAGTTATTTTTCCACGTTCTTGCATTGGCAAAGAATCTCCTTGAGGTTATTTACACACAACCTGCCACCATGAATCATAGGCCTCATTTTACCTTTACTCCGAGTTGTTTTGCTGAACCAGTTATCAGAATGCTGGTGTGTGCGTTTTTTCCTTTGACACAGCGTTACTTGTGTACTTTGAGACCTGAGGAGGAAATGCCTTGTTAAAAACAGCAAACAAACTGAAAAACCCTGTTTCCAGAAGTTGAAAAGCACTATTTTTACATATTTTTCTTATAAAAAAAATGCACAGCCTTCCCTGTTTTGATCTTTCTGGGCCACTGGCTTCATTTGCCCCCAGTGCTATTTGGATGCCGAGAACAAGGGCTCCTCTCTCCTCCTTTGTTGAGATAAATGGGTCAGGGCCAAAACGAGTTGGAGTTGATTGTGGAATCTGCTTCTTTGGAACATCAAATGATGCTTCAATCAGCTGAAAGCACCACTTGAATTCCTGAGTGCAGAAATGGGTGCGGCGGCGGCTGTAACACTCATTTATGTACATCAGCTCCCTGGAGGTAGGGATGCAGAGTCTAACCAGAACGAAGTAGGAAAATGACTACAGCTGGGTTCTCAAACCCGGTTGCACATTAGAATCACAAAGGGAGCTTTTAAAAATGCTAAAGACAGGGCTGCATGCCAGAATCTCTGGGGATTGGGCCCAGGCATCAATATTCCCTGTGCTGAGGATGAGAACCACCACCTTAGGACGTTGGTTCTCCGACTTGTTAAACAAACTGCTGGACCCCACTCCAAGGTACTCTGATGTAATTAGGCTGGGGGCGGCGTGGCTTGAGAATTTGTTTTTCTAATGAGCTCCCAGGTGATGTTGATGCTCCTGGTCCCAGCTTGGAGTAGTAGCAGGTGCTATATCTTGGGAAATACTCTGTATGCCTAGTTTCTGTTAAGAGGGCTGGTAACTTCTTAGCCAGGCATTTACGTATATCTTTTCACCTGGCTGTCTGGGAAGAAATATTCGCATCAAAGACTTGACTATTTTAGGTAAAGGGATCATGTGAGTGTATATTAATATGAGTAATTTTTAAAGAGTAACTGTATGAGTGGCAGAAGCTGGTTTTGCTTTCTGGGGTCTGAATGTGTGAAGTATCAGTCAGCTCTTGGAAGATGGGGGATGGAAAATAGAAACCTACCTGTGATGGCCATGTATCTTGTCTGGACCACACACTGTGACCACTTTGGCTGAAAGGTGTCATGATGGATTGGGATAATAAGCCAGGACTCTCTGAGTTTTTTTTTTAAAGATTTTATTTATTTATTTGACAGAGAGAGAGAGTGGCAGACAGAGGGAGAGTGAGAAGCAGGCTCCCCAGTGAGCAGGAAGCCCGACATGGGGCTCGATCCCAGGACCCTGGGATCATGACCTGAGCCAAAGGCAGATGCTTAAACAACTGAGCCACCCAGGCGCCCCGAGGACTCTCTGAGTTTTAAGACAGAAACCCAGCTCAAGGCTGAAGAGGTTGGGTCCTAGAACTGTAAAGTCCAGGGGTAAAGCAGCACACCTGAGTCAGCATCATTGTCCTAGGAACCTCGATCCCTTTCCCAGGTCTTGGTTGGAGTCCTCAGGAAGGCTCTGTCCTTGGCGTGACCTTCAGCAGCTCCAGCCATGGCCTGCCCACTGAGCAACCTCAGCAGGGATCCTCGCCCATACTTTTAACAAAAATTCCAGGCCAGACTCTCTTTGGCCCAAGTTGGGTCACCTGCCCATCCCTGAACCAGTCAAATCAAGATTCTGGCCAGGTGTGTGTCCCTTGCCCCTGCTGGAGCTCAAAAAGAGGCAATTCTCCATAGAACAGCTGGGCTCTGTTTCTCGAAGAAGGGAAGGACCCTGAGCAGGCTCAAGCGACAGATTTTCTCATTAGGTTGTGGGAAATTTCCTCTGGCCCAGCCTGTGGTGAGAGTGCTGGAAGACCCCTCTCCAGCCTTCTGTGTCGAAGTCATCCCTTCTGTGAGGTGGTCTCGTGTCTCCCCCTGCTGGGCACAGCTGTGTCCTGGTCCCTTTGACACCACCCACCGCATGTGTCTATCCATCCACTGGCTCTGAGGCATATTCTGAGTGACTTGCAGGCACTGGAGAGAAACAAGCTCTGTCCTTGTCTTCAGGTTTGCGCTGCACACCTCAGTGGAATTATTTGCATATAGTGGGTCCACTCCCTCTGCTGAGCGGCAGGCTTTCTGAGGCCCTGGTCCTGACTTAGTTCCTCTTTGCACTCCCCTTGGCATTATGTGCACATGGTTTTGATATTCTTACTGCTCAGATCTTTGACTGCATTCTAACAGGATAGTTAGTGGGATCAGAGGCAAGCCCAGTAGGGTTTGCAGGCAGGCTCAGCCTCCTGGGTAGCCACAACCTGTCAGTCTGTGGGAAAGTGGCTGGTTCCTTGTAGAATCCAGGACTGCCGTCCTTCCAGAATCCCAGAACCCTGAGCTTCATAGGAAGCCTGGTTTGGCGCTTTCTTGGCAAGAGAAAAGTTGGACCTTTAGTAAGGGAATTGGTTCATTGCTTAGATAGTTCAAGGCTGAGATTCTGGTTGAATCATACAGTGCTTTTGTGAGACATAGCTAATTTTTTTCCAGACATAACATATGTGTATATATGTATAAATATAACATATATTTCCATAACACACTCTGTGTATTGCTCTGCATCATGATACATTTGTATACATAAATAATGTGCATAGACACACATACACATGTAGTTATAGGTAATACCCATAGATACACATATATGCACAGTAAAGAAGCAGCCTTTTTTAAGCAATCAGCAAGCCTGACTGTAGTGGTGTTTCCTGGAGGGTATGGGAGCGCCCCTGGCACTGCCCAGAGTAGGGATCAGGAAACAAGGGAGAAAGTTTCCATTTCCACCTTGTAGCATTTGGTCCTTCCCTACCTCAAACCCATTGTATTTCCTGTGAACTGGAAGAGTACTGTTTTGCCCTTTGTACTCATTTCTGTAACACGGGGGGTGGTGGTTTCCACTGCTCGTGTTGAGTCAAGTCCTCAAAGGGAGGGACCTTGAAAGGGAGGACTGCAGCCTGCTCCTGGTCATCAGCAGCGATGCATAGCTCCCATGTGGCGGCTGACAGGAGACACCAGAGCAGGTGCACAGGCTTGTTAATTTAGTGCTTACTTGGCAAATATTTGCCAAGCACCTGCTGAGTACTGCCTTTAAGGATAGCTGATGAGCCATACAGATCTTGTGTGTGCCTCTCTGGGACATTGTGGGACCTCTCCATCAGCCAGTGTGATTCTCTCCGTTGGCTGCTGTTGGTGTGTGGTAAGGGGTGGGGGGCGCAGAGCTGATTGATTTAACCCCTTCAGTTTTATTTTCCTGCTCTTGAGGACACTGTCCTCTAGCCCAGACAAACATATCCCTCCACACACACATACACACACACACACACACACACACCCCTCTCATAAGAGTAACAAGAAAGTTGAGTGTGAGACACTTCTCCCTCCATGTACATGGCTTAAATGAGTCAGACAGATGGGGCCAACACTTGGGGGTCCCTAGAGGTTGACTACACCCTATCAGGCACAGCAGCTAGGGAGGGTGATCCCTAAGGGTTGTGCGGGAACATAGAAGCCCTGAGTGATTCTGGGTGGGGTTCTTACTTAGGGACAATTTAAACAGCATTACAAGCCGCATTCTGGTTTTGTTGGGGATTTTTTTAGGTCAGGTACAAAGCAGAAAGTGCATAGAAGATGTGATTCACTTTGCCTGGGAAGAGAAGCTTTTTCTCCTGGCTGATGAGGTAAGAGTTGCTCAGCTCTCTCCTCCGTGGGGAGTGAAGCTGAGCTTTCTCTTCTAGGGGGAGGGAGCCAGATTTGACTCTTCTGTAGCCAGAGAGAACTTTCGAGGTGTTGGGGGAGTGATTCTAACCAAGGATGAGGATGTTACAACCTATGAAACTGTGACCTAAATCATCCCTATATTGGTTTGGATTCTTGGCTTTAAATTTCAGGAAGTTCAACCATTTTAAACTTAAAAGAAAAATTAAAGGATGGTAGGGGTAACAGGTGTGGGGCTAAGTCCAGGGACCCAAACCCTATCTCTCAGATTCTCTGTCCTTCCATGTTGGCCTCACACACAGCCCTGCTGTCTTCCAGCCTAGAAAGAGCATTTCTTCCTGGTGATTCCTGCAAAAGTCTCAGAATCGAGCCTCACTGGTGCAGCTTGGGTCACATGCCCATTGCTGAACCAATCACTGTGGCCAGTGGTTGCAGTATGCAAATTGACAAGGCCCCAGGCAAGGGGTGAGCTCTGTCCCCTGAGAGCAGGGGAGCAGTGTTCCTTGAGGGCATGCTGAGGGACTCATTCCCGGGAAGGGAGAGTGGGCTCTGGGTGGGCATAATGCTGCGTTCCTGTGCCTCCTTGTGCTTCTGTGTCTACCAGCCTGTGGGGAGGGGGGTAGGGAAATCTTAATTAATTTCATGATTGCCGCTCCTTGAAACCCCAGTTCTGGAGCCAGGGATGCTTGTTCTTTTCCTGCTTTGTAAGGAAGAAACTCAAGGCCTGTCAAATTCTCTTTCCGCTTCTTCATTTCTTCTGATTTCTGGTCAGTGGTAGCTTCTAGCACGTTGGTTTCATTTCTTTGGTCACTAGCACCCCCCACACCACCTGACCCCTACACTCACATGCGCTTGCACACACACACACACACACAGCTTACCCACCACATTGTTGCCATGATTAACAGATGGGTCTAAAAATATATTTTTAATTCCAGTATAGTTAACATACAGGGTTCTATTAGTATCAGGTGTTAACATGTTGTCTTCATTTTGGAAGGAGAGAAGGGGCAGCAGAGTGACCTGGTGTGTAGACCTCCTCCCCTTCTGGTCTGGGAAGAGGAGAGGGTGGGGGAGGAAGAGAGGGAGGGCTGTGCATAGCTTGTTGAAGGTGGAGCTGGGCTGACCCTCCCATGGCCCCACAGTGTCCCCGAGAGCCTCCGTTTCTCTGATCCCTAACATGAGTGTGGGAAGTTCATCCCCAAGGGCAGAGTGGGGTGCTTGTCTGCTGAGTGTAGACTGTGTGCACAGGAAAGAACAGAGCATGTGTGGGCGCCGCTCATGGGTGCAGTCTGTGGAAGGCTGGCAGTGAGATGAACAGAGAAACAGAATGGTTCCTAATGGGGTAGGTGGTGTAAAGGGCCAAGAGAGCAACACATTTAGCTCTTCAAGTAGGGGGGTCAGAGGACAGCTAAATGGACTGCTTTCATTATTAGTCTTATGGAAGGAAGTAAACATTCAGGGAGAAAACTTGCTTGGGCGGGTAGGAGTCCTTAATGTCCTCACTGGTCAGATGAGGTAGAAAGGTCCGGAGATTGGGTGGAGGTGAGTGTGGGTGAATGGGAGAAATCAAGTGGGCATCCAGCCCAAAGCCCTTCCTCCTTACTTGTTCTGGAAGGTTCTTTGGTCTGGCTCCTTCCTGGAAGTAGCATCAGAGGTTGGGCTTCATAGCACACAGCCTGACTGCAGGCTGAGCCTGAGCACCCACGCCCTCCCTCGGCAGCAGCCTGCATGAGCTCAGGCCTCTTGGGGAATTTGGGTGACTGTGCTTGTCCTGTCCTCTCCCCCAGGTGTACCAGGACAACGTGTACTCTCCAGACTGCAAATTCCACTCCTTTAAGAAGGTGCTTTACGAGATGGGGCCCGAGTACTCCAGCAACGTGGAGCTTGCATCCTTCCACTCTACCTCCAAGGGCTACATGGGCGAGTACGTTGGCCTCCACCTCCCTCCCACTGCCTCGGGGCCTGCCCCATACCAGTGCTCCTCCACCCCGCCCCACAGTCACCCTGCTGGACGGAGAAGGCTGCCCTTACCTACGGCCTCTGCTGATCCAAGAAGCAGGAGACAGGCCATATCCCCTGCCCGGGAGCCCTGTGGTGTGAGGACAGCCCTCATGCAGAGGCTCATAAAATAAGGTCCTGCTTGAAAGAAACCTGACCACGGTAAACAATGCAAATGAAAGCCGGACCTACAACAGCTTCCAACACTAGTGTTTTCTGCCCGCTCTATCACTGTGGTTCTGACACTGAAATCTGAGGGGCCAGGGAAGGCAGGTTGAGTGGACAAATGCCATCAGACCAGGGGACCAAGCTGTATGTGCACCTCACCCTAGCACTGGGGTCAGGGAGTCTGCTTCAATCCTGTATTTGTTCGTTCAGCTAATACTTACGGATGACCTACTGTGAGTCCTGTACTGATCTCGGCACTGAGGGTACAGCAGAGAGCAAACCACAGCCATCCCTGCCCTAACAGCTAGCTTCTAGTGAAGAGAGAGAGTTAGTAGACAAATGAATAAAATCATGTGTCAGGTGGACAAAAATAGAGAAGAAATGGGAATGCCAGGTGGTGGGGGCAGGGTCACTGAGGAGGATGGAGGGAGCTAGGCAGGTATCTGAGGGAGAAGCATTCTAGGAGAGGGAATAGCATGTGCAAAAGCCCTGAGGCATGCCTGGAATGTTCAGGGAAACAAGGCTGGAAACGAGTGCGTGAGGTGGGAAAGTGGCAGATGTTGAGACCAAAGAAGTCATAGGAGGCCAGATCACCTGGGCTACTTAGGTTAGTTTTTACTTTTTTTTTTTTTTTTTAAAGATTTTATGTATTTATTTGACAGAGACACAGCGGGAGAGGGATCACAAGCAGGGAGAGTGGGAGAGGGAAAAGTAGGCTTCCCGCAGAGCAGAGAGCCCGATGGGCTCAATCCCAGGACCCTGGGATCATGACCTGAGCCGAAGGCAGACGCTTAACGACTGAGCCACCCAGGCGCCCCGGTTAGTTTTTACTTTTACTCAGAGCCGGATGGGAGCCATTGGAGGATTAGAGCAGGGGTGTGAACTCACCTGACTTATGTTTTACTACCCGCTGTCTGGTTGCTGTATGGTAGGGGCAGGAACAGAGACTTAAGACAAGAGGCTGTACAGCCAGGCAAGGTACTGTGGGCCAGGATAGAGATGCGGAGGAGACCCTGGATCCTGATATATTTGAAGGTGGAGTGGACAGGAGTTGCTTGATGGAAAAGGTGATTGTGAGAGAGAGGAGTCAAGTTTCATTCGCAAGTTTTTTATTCAAACAACAGGAAGGATGGAGTTGCCATCAGTGGATGAGGAAGGCTGTGGGTAAAGCAGGTTTGGGGAAAAGATTGGGAGTTGTTTTTTTGATGTGTTGAATTTGCAGATGCCCATTGGATGTCCAGATAGAGATGGTTGTGTGAGTTCCCAGCTCAGGGCCGAGAGCCAGCTGATTTAAGTTTGGGAGATGCAGTGAACGAGTTGTTAGATCTCTGAGCCGGAACGTACCATAGGGAGTGAGTGTAGGTAGACAAGAGGTCTAAGGACTGGTCTAGGCCCTCACTGCTCAGAAGCTGTGTGAGAAGAGAGGGAAACTGCAAAAGAGGCTGAGAAGGAAAGACTAGGGCATTCATCCCCCCAACACTGGGAGGGGTCTTTCATGCGCCAGGTGTTAGGATGGGGGAAGGGTCTCCCTTGTTGAGCTGGAGGCTAATGGAACTGTGAAGCTTGGAGAAACATTTTGGTCAGGTGGAGGGAGCTGTGCCTTTGGGATGACTGCCCAGCTGGCTTGATTTGATGTGGGCAGGGGTTAATTTATGCTGGTCTTTCTGGTCTATGGTCCTAGTAGCGCTTTATCTTTGCTAGACTCATGTGCTATGTAGCTCTTTTCCTAAATAAGTCTGTTCTCTATTAACTCATTTTTCAAGCTCAAGTGTTTTTATCACATACCTAGCCATCTCTGCGTTGTGTTCTTGATTATTCTTTTAATAGTCTCCTGGATGTTGGAATCCTGAGTTATGCCCCACAGTCCTCAGATCCTGCTGACCTGAGATCAGACTGCTCTTCTCAATTTGATTTTCTACTCATCAGCAGAGGATTAAGCAGAAAGTTCTTTCAGCCTCTGTTAGGGGAAACCCTTCTGAGATACCAGAATTTATCTTCTTGCCTTGGAAGATCCAGCTGAGAGATGAGATGTGGGAACTTGCCTTTGCTGGTTCAGTTCTGCAGGCTGATACCAGTGGCATTTTACTGAGTGTCTCGTTGTGTCAGGTGCTCTGAGGTTGAGGGTGTGGGGTATACAGAGGAAAGTAAGACTAGATTCCTGCCTCAGGGAGTCTGCATTTCTGTAGTCATTAGTCCCAACGTTATCAATCACAGCCCAGAGGAGGAGGCACAGTTCCAGAAAGTGTGACTGCTGGAGCTGAGTCAGTTCTGGAAGGTTTTTTTTTTTTTTAACTCATTGCATATCTCAGCTTACTTTCATGTGACTTGACTCTGTATCAGTCAGGATCCTTGTGGTGATAACTAATGGAAACTCGACTTGAACCGACCTACACCAAAGAGGCTTTTTAAATTAATATGGGTGAAAAGTCCGGGAAGATGTTGATGCGACTCTGTCTCTGATTTCTTGCTTGGTCTCATTGTCTTGCTCAGCTCTGCTCTCCTTTGGGTTGACTTTGTTTTCAGGCAACAGGAGTTTTGGCAGAAGTCCTCCGGCTGTGCTCATGGCCCCAGGGAATCTGTACCCAGCCCTGGAGCCTGTGCAGGCCTGAGTCATGGGCCCTTTTGGAACAGGGGCCTGTGTATTAGCTAGGCCTCAGGCTGAGCTGCTTTAACAAAGAGGCCCCTAAATACAATGGCTGAAACAAGGTGCCCGTGACATAATAGCCCAAAGGCGGGGGAGGTCAGGACAGGCTGACCTCGAGGTCACTTGTGGACTCGGGCTCTGCCTTGTCCACACGGGGCGTCCATCTCCAGCACTGAGCCTGCTGCTCCGGTGTCTCCGTTTCTCAGGAAATGGGAAAAGAGAAAGGAGGAGAGAGCATGCTTTTTCCTTGTAAGGAAGTGACGTGGACTTTGCCCACGTCACTGCGTTCACGTCCCATTGGGATGAACTCGGCCACACCTGGCCGCTCCGTGTTGGGCGTGGGGATGCTTACAGAACATTCTGGCTGACCCAATGGCACATAGTTGAGGCCTCTCTGTGACCAGTGGGTCTTTGTCCCTTCAACCCTGCAGGTGTGGCTACAGAGGAGGCTATATGGAGGTGATCAACCTGCACCCCGAGATCAAAGGCCAGCTAGTGAAGCTGCTGTCCGTGCGACTGTGCCCGCCAGTGTCCGGGCAGGCTGCCATGGACATCGTCGTGAACCCCCCAGTACCTGGAGAGGAATCCTTCGAGCAGTTCCGCAGGGTGAGTCGCTGTGTCCTGTGGTCCCTCACGTCACTGCCGCCGCAGGGTCACGAGCATTCACGCTGGGCTTGGGGTCACCGTGGCCGGCCTCTCTCCAGATGGCCTCCCGGGGGTGCTCACAGCTCCTCTTGGCCGGAACCACCCCACGAGGGTAAGTGTGAAGATGCGGCTGGGCTGTGTTCTCAGGTGGAAGATTCCTCCCTCTTCCTCACCCGTGAGCCCCACGGGTGGGCGGGCACCCCAAGGGAAGGGCCTCGCATCTTGAGAACACCTGGGGGGCTTCTGTTACTAAACCGAAAAGGAGGAAGGGATGGGCATGGCACTGACTGGCCGTCCTTGCAGCATGAAGTGATCGTCCCTTTCAGCTGCAAGGGACAAAAACCCAACTTTAACCAGTTTAAACAAAAATGTATGGGTCACGTAAACAAAAAGTCAGGCCCCTGCTGTTCCAGGCTCACATTATTTTAAATTGTGGTAAAATACACAGGATGTAAAATTTACCATTTTAACCATTTTTAACTGAACAATTTAGTACATCAAATCCATTCACACTGTTGTGCAGCCCTCACCACCATCGATCTCCAGAACCTTTTGCTCATCCCACGCTGAAACTCCGTCCCCATTAAACACTAACTCCCCGTTTCCCTGTACCCCCAGCCCCTGCTAACCTCTCTTCTACTTTCTGTCCCTATGAATAGGACTGTTCTAGGTACTTCATCTACGTGGAACCAGACAGTATTTGTCTTTGTGTGACTGGTTTATGTCACTCAGCATAATGCCCCCAAGGTACACCTGAGTCATAGCATGTGGTAGGATTTGCCTCCTTTTAAAGGCTGAATGATAGTTCCTTGTACGCGTGGACCATGTTTCATTCACCCTCAGGCCATAGCTTTCATCCCCGTTCAGCAGAAGTCCTGGAAATGTTCACCTCTGAGCTGGTCACTGATTTGCTTTGCCTGGATCACATGCGCTATGTACACCACACGGATTGAGAGTGGCCTCCCCCCAAATGAAGAGTTTGGGCCAGCTCCTAGATGCATGTTCTAGAGCATTCCAACCAGGGCTGGGTCCATTCAGACTTCTGGGCTGGGATGGGGGTTTTCTCGTGTTCAGGAAGGACCTCCTGTACAAGAATAGAAGCCATGAGACAAGCTATGCAGGACCTACCTGTCACCCAGAACTCCCTGTACTTGTGTGCCCCGGGGCTCTGGGCAGCCTTCTGGGCTGAGCACCCAGGGAAGACGTTCCTGGAGAGGGATGTGTTTCACCCACCCCCCTGGTTTGCTGTGTTCGTGCACACACGAGCTCACTTTTCACCAGGCTGCTCCGTTGCTCCCACATTGAAGGGACAGTTTCCAGTGGCTGGAGCCGTTCCATGATGCCCAGAGATATGCTGACTCCTGTGTTTTCTGTGTCTCCTCAGGAGAAAGAGTCTGTCCTGGGTAATCTGGCCAAAAAGGCTAAGCTGACAGAAGACCTGTTTAACCAAGTCCCCGGAATTCATTGCAACCCCTTGCAGGGCGCTATGTACGCCTTTCCTCGGATCTTCATCCCCAGCAAGGCCGTGGAAGCAGCTCAGGTCTGGGGTGCTGGGCGGGGGCGCACTGGGTTCGCTTGGAATTGCTGGGTTGGCGGCTGTTTCTTGCCTCGGGGAGCAAAAGTGCTGGCTCTGGGGGCTTGGAATTTCGCGGACCCTTCAGCCAGATGGTGCTTACAGCAGAAAGATTGTGAGCTCTCGGAAGCCCAGCCCTGCAGCATGCTGTGGTGAAGGGGCAGAGGTGAGGTCAGCCCTGGGCGAGCAGTGCCAATCTGGGCTCTGAACGCCAGTGTTCAGAAGGCAGGTGCCCCATGCGTGACGTGATGCATTTAAAACTGAAGAGGCCACGACGGCATCTACTCTGCGCAGTGACTGTCCTAGAGCAGCACTTGTCCCAGCTGGTGTGTGGATGCGAAATCACCCCGGGGTCTTGTTAAAATGCTGCTTGCCACTGCAGGAAGTCACAGAGGGCCCAGGATTCTGTGTGTGCAACGTTTCCAGGCCCTGCCCCAGACCCTACTTTGAGGATCAAGGGCCAGAGCGGTATTTCTCAAAGTGTTGTCCTCATGCCCCCCAAACCTCTGTTAAACATTCAGAATCTGGGCCCTCCCCGACTCAGACCTGTTGAGGCAGAATCCCTGGTGCTGGAGGCTGAGCACCCATTCAGCGGGTACCGCAGGTTGTACGAACCGAGGTGTGAGAAGCACTGTGAACCAGAGTCCCCAGGAAGCTGTTCTCTGAAAGCCCGCCTGGGCACAGCCCTCAGGGCCTCGTTGCCAGAGGGTTATGCGCTTGGCATACGGGATGCCTGTGGCGCTGCTGCCTGGGTGTCGGTAACAAAGGACGGAGACCCTGGTCCTGGGTGAGGCCGAAGGTACCGCAGCCCATGGCCATCCTGAAGTAGCCCTCAGCTTCCTTGCTCCCTGCACCCGCTTCGGCCGCGTCTGCTGTCCTGCCTCGGTCCTTGCAGGGAGGGGAGAAGGGCCCCGCCATGGGAAAGAACCTGCTGCTCCAGCGGTTACTTGCTTTCAAGTTTTTGGTGGTGTGTTTGTACAAAGCCATAAACGAAGCCTAAGTTCTGCTCTGCTCCCACAGGCCCATAAAATGGCCCCAGACATGTTCTACTGCATGAAGCTCCTCGAGGAGACCGGCATCTGCGTCGTACCGGGCAGTGGCTTCGGGCAGAGGGAAGGCACCTACCACTTCAGGTACCTCTGTCTGTCTGCAGCATGGGGCTGGTCCCAGCTTGGTCTTGGAAAACTTGGGGCTTCTTATTGCAGAGCACGGGCTGGCTCCAGAGACTGAGTTGTGTGCAGCCCAACCTCCCTGCAGCAGACCATCCCCCCGTCCTGCTGCAGAGCCGCGCTGAGACCTGGGTCCAGGGATTCAGGAACACTATACGTGGGCCCCAAGGTCATCTCCTTGACTGCTCATGTCTCCCTCTCCACTGCCTCCATCTATTGCATACCATCTGAAATGTTCCGGTGGGGTTTTCTTTTTTTTATTTCCCTGTCCTTTCCCAATCCCATGCAATAGCAAACAGCGTCCAGGTGCTCAGGAGCTCATCCAGAAGTCTGCAGAGATGCTGCATCTGAAACATGGAAGCAGTTTACTTTCTGGGACACATTGCACAGCGTGTGCTGACCCTGCTGGGATGGCAGCCCAGGTTGCTGAGCGAGCGGGAACAGCTCAGCCAGGGTTTCCCCACCAAGGCCGGTTTTGTTCAGTACAGCACCTTCTCCATGCACAGTGCTCTCAGATGTCTTCTGCAGCAGATGCTAAAAAAAGAAATGTCATGAGCTTAGTTAGCACCTGGAGCCAAGTCCTGACTCAGGTCATACCCTGGATGGACAATCGTGTGTGTGTGTGTGTGTGTGTGTGTTCAGCCTCTCCACCCTAGTTAGGTTCATCTTGGCAAGTCATGGCTCATTCAAGAAACGGTTACATCGAGAGGGCTGCCTTTTAGGTGGGGGAGCATACTGGCAATAGTAGAGGAAGGAATTAGTTACCATGGCAACTGGGGAGCGCCTTTGGAGGGAGAGTTGTGACTGGAGGTTCTCACTCGAGATTTTTATTTATTTATTTATTTAAAGATTTTATTTATTTATTTGACAGAGAGACACAGGAGAGAGGGAACACAAGCAGGGGGAGTGGGAGAGGGAGAAGCAGGCTTCCCACAAAGCAAGGAGCCCTATGCAGGCCTCGATCCCAGGACCCTGGGATCATGACCTGAGCTGAAGGCAGAAGCTTAATGACTGAGCCACCCAGGTGCCCCTCTTAAGAGATTTTTTAAAAGGCCCACCTAGCAGGAGGAACGGCTCACTCTGTATCTGCAGGAAATACCAAGTCATGCTCTAGAGAAAGTTGTGTGCACCGGTCAGAATGTGGTGCAGGCCTTCTGCCATAACAGGCGGACCTGTCAGTGAGCTTAATGCTGCCGCCATCTTACTACTTTTGGTCCCATGTATTACTTGGGTAAAAAGTAAATGTATGGATTGGGGTGGGGGTGGTTCAGCGAGTTCCAGGTTCTGCTCCGGGGCTGGTGCTTTCGCAGCCTCCCCCTCCCACTGCTTGCCCATGGCTCCTCATCTCCACAACACAGGTGAAGGAAAGAGCTCCTGCTTTCCTTCTTCTCCGCTCTTCCAGAGCGACTTGTGTCCAGGCTGACGCTGTCCTCTTTCCTGACAGAATGACCATCCTCCCTCCAGTGGAGAAGCTGAAGACAGTTCTACAGAAGGTGAAGGACTTTCACATAAAATTCCTGGAGAAGTACGCATGAGGACTGCTCGGACCCAAAGGGAGACCTGCTTGTCAGGCCTTCCTCCTGATGCCCACCCACACCAGACTGAACTTGCCTTCCCCAGCGACTCTGCCTCAGGCCTCACAAAGGTCACTGGTCGCTTTTGTTGTCATTTTGCCCCAAGAGACTTCTTTCTTTGTGCCTTGATGTTGGGAGCACTTCTCTTCTGAGCAATGTGATTGGGGATATCTCAGAAGTCCTGTTTTTTTTTGAAGCAACCAAAGTAGAGGGGACTTGCTCTGCACATGTGGCCGGCGTTCTCTGAATCTGTTGTTGTTGCCTTTGGTAAGGTCATTTGGGGTTTAAAACAACCAGGGTATGTTGGGCGAGAGATGTTTCAGATCTGAAGAAGTAAGAAGGTGTTGGGAAATGTATGACAGTCGTGGCGAGCGAGGACTGGAAATCCCACACTCAACACCATGATCTGTGAAATAAAACCCTTAGCAGTGTGCAAATCTAGTTCTTCAAACAGAAGAGCCTGGAAGTCCGCTGGAGGCTCAGAAAGGGCCCACCATTCTGGCCTGCAGGCAGATGGCCTGTCTCTCAGACAAGAATGGTGCAGGCGGGGTGGGACTGGATGCCAGGCTAGGTTGTGACAGGTACTGGGCTCCATGGCCAAGGTCAGCAGGTCCTGCAGGGGAAGAGTGGGTGTGAACCAGGTCTCCGCGTGGGAGCACGCAGCAGGTAGTGAGGACTCTTGCACATAGAGCAGTAGGTAGTGAGGGCTTTGGGGGTGAAGGTTCTCTTAAGCGTGCTTAGGCTGGGACCCCCGTCTGAGAGGACTCCCTGGACTTCGGGGACGCAGGGTACAGCCCAGTAATATCCCCATCATGTGGAGGGATTCTGCCTGCTGACGTGTGAATCCATCCTGCTGTCAGCCAACAACGGGTCTCGACCAAGGGCTCCATTGAGCCTTTACACACATCGCCCCCTGTTGGTGACAGCAGGGATAAGGAAACACTGAAGATGTCCAGATGAGGGAGGGGCGGCATCCTCAAGGACTTGACCAAAGTCAAGCCCTCACCACCAGCCCCCTCCTGTAGTGTCTTGTTGTTTCAAACTGAATTCAGCCCATTTCCTAGCTCATAATTGGTCAAAGTGCCTGGTAGCTTGGCTGCTGTGGACGAATACATGTAATTGGATTCGAAGTTTATCAAAGTATCTTAATGCCAAGTGTTTCGCCTCCACGTTTGCTGGTGGCTTCCCCCCCAGACTCTGCAGACTGTCCTGGGATATCAGTCCTCTATCCAGCCAGGGGAGTATCTCCACCAAGCCTGCCACTTTCCTGGCATTAGCAAACCTGGGTGGGGGCCTGACCCACACTCCCAAAATGTGGGTGCTCTGCGAAGAACAGGCTTCTCTGAGAACCCCTTCACTGAGAGCCCCCTCCTACCAGTGGCCTTCCTCAGGAGGCAGTGGGGGAAGCCAAGGCCAGCTGAGGAGCCCGGGAACCCAGCGAGTCCCAAATTGGAATCGAAAGAGCTAGAGAGACAAATACGAAGAGGCGTGAGCTTTGAAGGCAGCCTCCTATGCTGTAATCTCTGTGTTGGGCCCATGCAGGGGAAGGTGATAGGAGACTACGGACTGTCCCTACTTCCTAGCATTACAGCCCCTGTGCAGAAAGTAGCTACAATCTCAAGTAACAAACGGAACGTTCAGGAACTTTTCCTTAAAAATTGAGAAAATTGCACTTGTGCTTGTTGGATGGTACATAAAACAGAATGTGTCCCGGAGTCGTGAGGTTTCTGGTGGAGAGGTTACATAGTAGAAGCTAGTCTATTTTTTATATTTTTGTAACAATTGCTTTTTTCATGGGGGGACAAGGGGGCTACTATTTGTAGTCTTAACAAGTCCAGTAGTTTTTTATGAATCTCTTCAGATTATAAATAACATCTAAAAACTTTGCAACGTTTACAAGACTTTTTAAAAGACGCTGTATGCACTTGGTTTGCTTTTAAAGTAAATAAATAAAAACATAAGAAGGTCAGCTGACTTAGGAGGTTAACTTCATTCAGGGGGGAACACTGATCATGATAGATTTGATTTTTTACAGTACCTCCAAAGGAAGTCATTTTGGTAGTCATTTAAATCTACACCTGCAAAGTTTTTTGTTGTTCATCTAGATCCACACATGGGGGATGCTGGGACTGTACCTTGGGTGGCCCATCACCCCAAACCCCGAGGCCCGGCTGGTTGTTGTCCCTGTGTTGTGTGGTTTTGCAGGAAGAACTGACAGGCCTGTCTGTCCCTGTTCTCCAATTTAGATTCTCATAGGCATCTCCTGATAAAGGTACTTAATGATAGCTCTGCTGGAAATTTCTATTCAATAAAATACATGTTCAAAATGGTGACTGTGTTTAATTTTCCTTATAGTTTACATCTATTCAAGCAGGTATCAGTCTAAACTCAAGCAGATGTCACTAATTGTACATCTTCATTCTTTTTCTTTTTTTAGATTTTATTTATTTATCAGAGACAGAGCAAGCACAAGCAGGGGGAACGGCAGGCAGAGGGAGAAGCAGGCTCCCCATGTGGCAAGGAGCCCGATGTGGGACTTGATCCCAGGACCCTGGGATCATGACCTGAGCTGAAGGCAGACACTTAACCGACTGAGCCACCCAGGCGTCCCTACATCTTCATTCTTTGTAACTTAGGTTCCTAGCACTAGAATAACATTTTCCCCCAGTACTCACCGACTTCAGTCACGATTTCTCAGTTCCATTTTCTTGTAGGTGTCAACCCCCTGGACCCTGAGTGGCTTTCTGTTGCGTGAGGTGGGAAAACATGGATTCTTTAAATGGGATGTTGTTAAAATGAATGCAGACCTTTACTGTCTGGTGGAAGAAGAACGATGCACTGCGAGGCCAGTGGGAAAAGCGGGAGTCATCGTCACGAGGGATTTCATTCCTTTTCCTCAGCCTCTCCCAGATCCGCATCATTTCTGATGTGTGGTTTTGAAATTGAAAACTTTTTCACCCTAAACTAAAATTCTTCTGTCTTTATTAAAGAAGAATTGGGAAATGGAGAAGGAAAAAAAAGTAGGATTCTTTCAGTTGGAAGAAATGGAAGGCTGAAGTAGGAAAGAAGAATTTATTGAAGTCCTGGAGGGAAGCTGGCTTAGGTTCTCCTGTTCACTCTGTTAAATGCAAAGCCTGTCTTGTCCAGCTCCACATTGAAAAATGCCAAGGAAGGATCTTGGCTACATGTGCCCTTCCTTGAATCTGTCTCTGTGGCCCTGGGGGCTTCAGCTGGCCCTGTGCTTGCTGGAGGAGGTAGAAAAGAGGCTTAGAATCACCAGCCTCATCAGAGCCATTGGAAGAGAAGCTGCTCTGTAGGATAGGGGCACCTCATTTACTACAGGTAGCTCTTTAGAAAGGGGCTGGGGGAGGGATGTGTGTGTTTAGGGTGGGCTGCTTAAAGGTCCTTACTGGTTGATAACCAAGGGGACTAGAGGTGTTCTCTGCATCTTCCCTCATCATTCATACACATTGGGAATGTATACATCTTGTCTGCAGACTAAACTTGGTGTAGTCTATTATACAGAGTTTGTTAAATAGATAGGGATTAGACTATTACTCTCTATTATTTCTGGTATTGATTTGCTGTAACACACCTAGAAAGCCTTCAGCAAATGTTTGATAAGTACCCATGAGCTACGGACTTCTAGGGAATGGGGAGTCAAAAGTTAGTAAGATGTGGTCACTGTCCTTAAAAAGTCATAGATAGAATGGCCACCAAACAGTTCAGTACTCAAATTCTATTCACCCAGTGTGCTGGGCTTAAAAGAAGCATGAGGGTCAGGCATGGGAGAAGGGGATGATGCTATTCTCTACCAATTTAAGGAACATGCATTTGCCTGCCTCTCCTCAATGCCTTCTGAGAAATGCCAGCTATCTTTGGCCTTCATCCTGCCCCCAAGCCAGGAGACACCCCTCTCCCCAAGAAAAAAGAAGCTGGAACTTACTGCCAGGTACCCACCCAGTCTTCCTTAAGAGGCACAGGTCAGCTGGAGTTTCCTATTGAGATTTCATTCTCTTGCTTAAACAAAAAATTTAAAAACCAAACAAGTACTGACATTTTTTGTCTCCTCCCTGATTTCATCTGCCTTTGCTCTGAATGGAAATACTGGGACTATCCCCTTGAAGTCTTTTTAAAGATACTAAATTTTGAAGATCTTAAAGATCTTAAAGATATTTAAACATCCACAATCCTAGTGATACTGACAAATTCAGACCACAAAAGTATGTTACACAAAAGTGTAAAACTCAAAAATATTCTGATTATCAAAGTAAACATGTTAGTGTGGAAAAGACAGAAAATGAAGAAAAGTCCAGAAAATTTGAAATCCCCTAACCAGAGTTAATCAAGCCTCACGTTCTGGGAGATTTCCTGACTGTCCTTTTCCTGAGAATATTTTTAGCATGGTTGAGATGTGTATGTGTGTGTTGTTTGGATCCTAACTTTTTTCCCCCTTCAGCATCACAACATATTAATAAAAGTGCCTGATGAGCAGTTTTGATGGTTACCTCATCTATTCTATGGATGATCCCATCATTTAGTTAGCTGCCTCTTAAGCATTTAGGTTGTACACAATTCTTGGTTTTTATTATTTATTTATTTTTTAAAGATTTTATTTATTTATTTGAGAGAGAGAATGAGATAGAGCATGAGACGGGGGAGGGTCAGAGGGAGAAGCAGACTCCCTGCCAAGCAGGAAGCCCAATGCAGGACTCGATTCCTGGGCTCCAGGATCGTGCCCTGAGCCTAAGGCAGTCGCTTAACCAGCTGAGCCACCCAGGCGCCCAACAGTTCTTGGTTTTTTAAAAATAATGCCGCACAGGGCACCTGGGTGGCTCAGTTGGTTAAGTGACTGCCTTCGGCTCAGGTCATGATCCTGGAGTCCCGGGAAGGAGTCCCGCATCGGGCTCCCTGCTCGGCAGGGAGTCTGCTTCTCCCTCTGACCCTTCCCCCTCTCATGTGCTCTCTCTCTCTCATTCTCTCTCTCAAATAAATGAAATCTTTAAAAAAAATTAAAAACAATAAACTATTCTTAGCACTGTACACTAGTTGATAAACTTGTTTCCCATGTCGGCATGGGTTTACAATTCTATCACCATACATGTATCATCGTGGAATTCAACAACTAAGCAAATGGTAGGCAGATGGTGGGAGCAAGCTTTCTCAGTGTTTCACTGAAATAACACAGACTGACTCATGCAAGTAGGCCTGTTAGAAACAAGTTTTATACCTGTGCCTTGACAGAGTTTTGACATGCAGCAGTGTGTTGCATTGTTTCAGGAGATGACACTGTGATATTGTGATAGAATAAGAAATACACATTTGGTTTTTATTCCTGGTTCCCAGCACAGAGCTCTTAAAACCCTTGGAATTTCTTGGGCGCCTGGGTGGCTCAGTCATTAAGCGTCTGCCTTCAGCTCAGGTCATGATCCCAGAGTCCTGGGATCGAGTCCCACATCGGGCTCCCTGCTCAGCAGGGAGTCTGCTTCTCCCTCTGACCCTCTTCCCTCTCGTGCTCTCTATCTCTCATTCTCTCTCTCTCAAATAAATAAATAAAATCTTTAAAAAAAATAAAAATAAAAATAATGCCGCATAACTAGCATCCATAAGTGTTTGCCATAAGTTTCAAGGGCCTCACCCCCTGGTAGAGTCCAGAATGGGGCAGACTATGGTGGACACCTTGGCTCTAGCTCTTACCAGTTGTGGGATCACTGAGCCCCTGTTAGCATCTGTAAAATGGTTGTAATAATACCCACTCATGGAGCAATAGGATGAATTGTGAGCACTAAATGGGGAAAAAATTGTGTGTGAGTGTGTGTGTGTGTGTGTGTGTGTGAGTGATTTAGCATAGTTCCTGGCAAGTAGCCTCTTACTGAGTGCTTCCCATGATTACCTCCAGTTTAGAGCAGTGCTGATAGGATACATGTTTGATAATGTTGAAACTGAATGGGAAAATATGTCCTTGACATGCCAGATGCAATATGAAAATGACATTTAGAAGCTGTGAGGAC